TCTGATAGTTATTTTTCATTTCTTCTACATAAAACATTTCAATGAGTATGTTTTATAATGTTGGCTTAGTGGTTATGAATTCTTTTAGTTTCTGCTTATCATGGAAAGTTTTTCATTCTTAAATTCTGAAGAACAGTTTTTCTGGAAATAATAATCTTCGTTGACACCATTATCTTTAAGGACTTGGTATATAAGATTCCAAATCCTGGGCTGGGGATGTGGCTCAAGCGGTAGTGCGCTCACCTGGCATGCGTGCGGCCTGGGTTCAATCCTCAGCATCACATACAAACAAAGATGTTGTGTCTGCCAAAAACTAAAAAAATAAATATTAAAAATTCTCTCTCTCTCTCTCTTTAAAAAAAATAAATTCCAAATCCTCCTGGCTTTTAGGGTCTAGACTCAGAAATCAGTGGAAAATCTAACTGGCTTACCTCTACTCTAAATATGACCTGACATTTTTCTCTTGTTGATTTTAAAATTCTATCCTTAATTTGTATATTAGACATTTTAATTATAATGTGTCTTGGAGGGGATCTTTTTTGATCTTGTTTATTTGGGGTTCTGAAAAATCTCTTTTGTTTGGATTTCTATCTCATTCCTAAGGTTTGGAAATTTTCTGATATTTCACTGAAAAGTTATGATGCATATCTCAGTACCTTCCTGTACACCAATGATTCTTAGATTTGGTCTCTTAATGGTAGTCTAGATTTCTTGAATATTCTGGTCATGGTCTCTTAACATCTTTTCTTATTGTCAACTTTCCATTCAAAATTATATACTTGGGGTTGGGGTTGTGGCTCAGAGGTAGAGCCACATGCATGAGGCCCTGGGTTCAATCCTCAGCACCACATAATAAAATTGATTAAAGATATTATGTCCACCTGTAACTAAAATATAAAAAAAATTTTAAAAGATTATATGCTTTGTCTTCAAGGCCTGAAAATCTTTTCTCTTTGTGGTCTAATCTATTGGTGATTCTTTCAATTGAATTTTTTATTTGATTTAATTGACTCTTTTCCAGGATTTTTGTTTGATTCTTTTAAAGAGTCTTTCTCTCTATTGAAAGATCTTTCACTTCCTGTATTTTTTTTTAACATTTATTTTTTAGTATTTGGCAGACACAACATCTTTGTTTGTATGTGGTGCTGAGGATCGAACCCGGGCCGCACGTACGCCAGGCGAGCGCGCTACTGCTTGAGCCACATCCCCAGCCCTCACTTCCTGTATTTTCTTAGTTCAGTCCTTACATCTTCTTTGAGTTCATTGAACATTTTAAGTATTAACTTTCTAAATTCTTTATCTGACATTTCCTCCTCTGGTGGCAATTGGATCAGTTGTTAAGTGTTGTAAGCTATTTGAGATGGTTTGTTCCCTTGTTTTTTCATATTATTTGTACATCTACTGGGATTATTATCTATTCTACTTTTATGCAAGGGACTATTAGTGAGCTTGTTTCTCTTAAGTGCCCCAAGCTGGCAGATATCCAAGCATTGAGGCTCCACTCAGTGTGTATCCTCTGCTATGCTCAGTGTCAGCTCCACTTTGAGAGAAGATACTAAATCCTGTCAACTACATTCACTTTAGAGCAAAGCCATGAACTAGGGAAACATTCATACATGGGGGAAAAACATATTGAAAATCTTCTATACTTTCCTCTAATCCAAGTATAAAATTATAGTAATATTTTTGGATAGGTTGAGAAATGAATTATTAGGAAAATTATTATTATACTATTTAGATATGACAAGGGAAGAGGAGAAAAATTGGGCAAAGGGAAAAAGAAAAGAAAATATAGAAAAAATACAACGTAGATAAAAAGAAGAAAACAGTACATCAGGGAATGGGGGATTTGAGGCAGGAGCAGGTAATTCAAGAGGGAAAAGAGACTGAGAGGAGCAATTACAAACCTGCCCTTGGAAGCAAAATCAAATGATTGCAGTTAATGTTTTAAAACATTAGAAGAAATACATTTGAATGGGTTGAAGGAAGCAATATTTTATTTCATACTGCATCATTGTTTCATACTGGAACAGTTGTCAATTCAGTATGAAAAGTAGTATCCAAATGATCAAAATTGACATTAGAGACGTTTATGATATTCCATTGCCAGAGAAGGGAGATTTCTTATCGAGTCTTCCTGATTTGGATTCCATCAGGATTTGGGACCTTTGGAAGATGCCCATCACTCCTCAGCTTTACCTCTACATTTCCCTGGGTGTGGAGGTAATGATCACACCAGTTCACCTCTGGTAGAATTCTAGGAGGCGTCCTTCAATCTTTGTGTGTCCAGGGACCTATTAGCTTTCTGTTGGGTCACAGGAGATGGTCTCTACTTGTGATTTAACAGGCAGGGTACACTCTAGTATGCCTTTTTGAGTAAAAGTTCCACGTATCCAGCACTGTTAAATTCAGTGTGGTCTCCCCTATGTATGCTTTGGAGTATGCAGCGTGTGGTAGCCTAAGATAGAAGTATTGTAGTCTGGTTGATATGGCACTGGATGGCCCATGGAGAAGTGTAGGCCTGTTGCTTCCTCTGGAGTACACGGGTCATGGGTCAGTAGGCTTGTATCTATGCACACTGGGCAGTGACAGGTGTCTGTGAGATGCTTCTCTGAAAGTGGCTTTGTGGAGTGTAGTGCCTTTGTGTATGCACTGAAGTTCTCGGCTGGCTGCTTCGGGTTATCCTCAGGAAATGCCCTCTGTCGGTCTAAGTTTGAGTAGGAATTGAGTTAACTAGAAATTCTGGGCCCCACAGCATGTACTCTACTAGAGGTGCTGAGGCACTAGGGTTACTTCCTTGGTTGCTGTGGCTTTCTCACCAGCCAGTGCTTGTTTGTCAGCCTAGAGGCACAAGTCTGTGTGCCTGAGGGTGCTGCATCTGCTGCTGGTTTCTGTTGGGTGTGGGAGGCACAAGGTGCAGTAATCAGAGCTGTCACTGACTGAGCCTCTACTCCCCTCCACAGGGACTTCTTTATAATGGCACAGAGCACAGTGGTTGTCTGCGACTGTGGGGCCTATACAAGCAGACTTTCTGTGAGCAAACTGTGGCACAGAAACCTCCACCCTGGATGATGTAGATCACCTGGGTTTTACCCATCACTGTGACAGGCATGGGGCATTATTGGCTCATCTTTGCCTGAGCTCTGGTGGAGGCTGTGGGGAGCATTGGGTTGGGGCTGGCACTGCCCAGGAGTGGTTAGCTCTTCAGTCAGCTCTACCCTACTCCCCTTGTCCTTGGTGAAGGGGATTCATAGCTGTCAGCTAGCAGCAATCCCTCTACACGTTCCCTCTAGATGGATTACTGAGACGACACATTTCAGAAGCATTATCTGTGGTTGTATATCTATAGGTGGGGAGAAGCTGTGTTGATTTGATTTCTTCTAGGGAGGTGGCCAGCTGTGAACTCTACACAGTGGCTGCCCTGCGCGGCACAGCTTTCTGCCCGCAGTTTGGGCTAAACTGTGTGCCGTCCTTCACCGTCTTTGCTGCTCCTGCCCTGTTTTAACTTGCTCTGCTTTTCTTTCGAATTGTTGTTAAGGAAATAAGCTTATGGACTTTTCCTCTCTCTTCTTTTCTTGGTAAGCTTTTCTTTTGCTGCTTCATTTCTGGGCTGTGGAGGAGTTGAGGGTTCCTACCTAGCTCCTCTCCACCAGCTTCCAAATCCCCTCACCAAATATATCTTGTTTTTAGATTTTTCTCTGGAAACCTAAAAAGATTTTACTTAATTCTAAAACAAAAAGTAATCCCTAAAAATGTAAAATAAAAGTAAAGAAATATGCTCTTGAGTTCAGTTGGTGTTTTTGTTCTGTGATATTGGCATTTTTGCTCTGAAATTATTGTGAGTATAATATTTGATGAACCAAATATTGTCTTTACTATCCTTAAGAACTAGAATTCTCATCATGGGGAACAGGAGATATGAATGTTAGAAGACATTGTCATAAATGAATACACTTGAATTGTAAGTATATCAGTATAAATTCATGTAATTCATCATGTCAACAAGCTAAAGAAAAAAATATAAGATGGTCTCAGTTGATGCAGTAAAGCATTGACAAATTCGGCACTCATTGATTAAAAAAAAAAAGCTCAGCAATTTGGAAATTAGAAAATTGGCAAATAATGTGAACATTCATTTCAGCAAATACATGTGATAAACAAACACATGAATAGGTGTCCAACATCATCGGCCTTTAGGAAAATATAAACACACAATGACATATCAAAATGGCAAAATAAAAAAAGGTGGTAACACTGAATGCTGGTGGAGAAATTTGATCATACATTCACAACTAGTAGGAATGAAAAACTGCTAGAAAGCAATTTGTCAGTTTCTTATGAAACTGAGTATGTGACTTCCATATAACCCAACAGTTGCACTTGTAGGCATTTATTCTAGATAATGAAAATTTATTTATATCTTACAGAAACTTGTATACAAATATTCACAGAAGCTTTTTTGAATAGCTAAAATGTAGAAAAACCCAGATGTCCTTCACTGGGTTAAACATCCATGCCATAGGGGCTGGGGCTGGGGCTCAGTAGCAGAGCACTTGCCTAAGCATGTGTAAGGCACTGGGTTTAATCCTTAGTAGCACATAAAAATAAATAAACAAATGCATTATGTCCATCTACAACTAAAAAAATTTAAAAACAAACATCCATGCCATGAATACTGCTCAGCAATGAAAAGGAAGGAACTAGGGATACACACTACAATCTGGATGAATCATCAGGAATTATGCCATGTTAAAAATAAACAACCTTAAAAGGTTGAATACTGTAGGATTCCATTTATATAATGGTCTTTAAAGTCATACTTACAGAAAGGAAGAACAGATGCATAGGGGTGGTTAGGGACAGGTATTGCTAAGAAAGAGCCTCAGGAAGATCCTCTTGATTGGGATGGAAATGTTCTATATTTTGACTGTATCAGTGTCACTATCTGGGATGTGATTAATTTTTTTCCCAATTTCATGCTTTCTCTCATTCTCTGTCAGGACCTGATGCAATTTTATGATGAGGATCCAAAGCCAACACTACCTCCTTCCATTATCTCTTTATCTAGGTGGTTGTCAGAAGGACAAGCAGAAGTTTGCAGTCTCTGGGATGCAGGTAATTTGGCTAAGGAATATGTAGTTTATTCCAAAACATGACCAAGAAACACCGGGAGGAATTCTATATAAATAAAAATTTTATTTGGTGAAATATAGCAATAGTTGACTTTTATTTAATGTTGATAATGAAGAACAGGATTAGTATTCAATACACACATAGTCCTATAATCTTATTTTATCCATTGTTTCAGTGTTTTTCCTTCAATTTTTTTCTTCTTCTTTATTGTTTTAAAAATGACTACACACCTTAAATATTTTATGAATGGTTTAAAAAAAGCAGAAAATTAATTTTAGTTTCTTATTTTCATTAACTTTTTTGTGGCGGTGGTACCAGGGATTGAACCCAGGGGCACTTGGCCACTGAGCCACATCCCTGGCCCTACTTTGTATTTTATTTAAAGACCGGGCCTCCCTGCGTTGCTTAGCACCTTGCTTTTGCAGAGGCTGGTTTTGAACTAATGATCCTCCTGCCTCGGTCTCATGGTGTGCCACCACGCCCGGCTCATTAACTTACTTTTGATGGAGTTTAATTTATGACATCTTTCAAAAGCAAAAACTAAACAAAAAGTGAAAAGCCAAGATGCTTATCTATCCCACAAATTGGCTAATCATCTAGAATAAATAACATTAGAAAAAGACACAATATAAAATTATACAAAACTAGCCTCAAATAAATTATACTATTGCATTTCAGCTGGGCTCTGCTGCTACTCTAGATCCTATAGGATCTGATCACCAATTGAGCCACTTCATCCTGTATGTTTTTCATGAACTGTCAATTTGCAATACGTATTTCCTCTTAATTTTCTCAGAAAGTAGGTGGAAGGTCTGCCCAGATGAGAGTAGAACAATATCATTAGTGCCTTTCATTTTCTTTGTTTTTGCTTTTGTGTTCATCCAGACAACCTTTCCCTTATTACAGAAGTGGCTCCTCATGTTTTGAGTCCCATTTTCTCCATCTTCTTGGACCATGCATCTCAAACTTTCACTTTATATAGAGCCTCATTATTCAAAATATAAAAGCTGTAATATATTAGTATACACTTATTTTACAAGTTCACATTTATATAAAGTTTTCTTACAAAGCCAGTTGCGAGAACAGCGTGCATATTTTAATAACACAAAACCAACAAATTGGGGTTTATGGTATGGTATGATATTTGCATAAGGATGGCATGCTCATGGATAATTAGTTACAAATGATTATAATATAGTAGACAGTTTGCTTAGTATCCTTATAACACACACTAAGTAAACAGATCTCAAATCAGAAGCTTGAAAGAACAAGTAAGGAAATTGTTTGATTTTCTAATTTAGCCTAATATTTTTCCCTGCTAAAACTTAAAAAATAGACTTTAAGAGCAGTTTTAGAGTCACAGCAAAACTGAGTGGAAAGTAGAGTTTCCATGTATGCCTTTCTCCTCTTAGATATAGCCTCCCCCACCATCAGTGTAACACACCAGAGTGGTACATTTGTTATAATTGATGAACCTACATCAACACACCATTATCTCTTTAAGTCCACAGTTTATATTAGAATTTACTGCAGATTCTATGGGGTTGAACAAATGATATGCATACTCTTTTACAGTATCATTACAAAGGAGTTCCCCTGCTCTAAAAATCCTGTGTGTACTGCCTAGTCATCCCTCCCTCCTCCCTCCCCTGGCAACACTGATGTTTTTATGGTCTCTATAGTTTTTTTCTTTTCTGTAATGTCATAGAATTGGAATCATGTGTAGCCTTTTCAGATTGACTTCTTTCACTTAGTAATATGTATTTAAGGTTCCTCCACATCTTTTTATGGTTTGATAGCTCATTTCTTTTTAGTGCTCAGTAGGATGTACCACAGTTTATTTATTCATTTACCTACTGCAAGACATCTTGGTTACTTCCAAGTTTTGGCAATTATGAGTAAAGCTACTTTTAAATATTTGAAACAGGTTTTTGGGTGAACATAAGTTTTCTCCCTAACATTTAATACAAGTGAAATTGAATATATATGAGCATCAAAGCCAACCCACCCTACAGAGGAAAAAGGTCACAAAACACATTGCCTGAGGGATGCTTCCACCATTTTACTTGTCAGGACCAAGTAAAATAGGGGCTTTTCCTATTTTTAATTCTTTTTTTTCTCTAGTCTCTCCTTGACACCGGTCTTGTTAAAATGCAGATCCTAGCATTTCACTTCCCAGCTTAAAAGCTTTCAGCATTTCTCTACTGCCAAAGGATAAGTCTGATTTTTTTGTACTGTCATATAAAACTTTCATCATCTGGTCCAATCTTTCTGGGCATCACCCAAAACTGTCAATATTCACTATGCTTTGTGACACTCCATTACTCAAGGAGTTTCTTCTCTTTAGAATTTGTTCCAGTTACCTTGGCTATGTAACATATTACCCTAAAACTTTGTAATGTAAAAGAAACATTTATTTTGCTCCTGGATTCTCTGGGTCTGGAATTAGGACAGGGCACAGTAGGGTTGGCTTGTCTCTGCTCCATGATGTGTATCTGAGCCTCAGCTGGGGGATTCCAATGCTGGGACAGGGATCAGCTGAAGGCTGCTCTTTCACGCATCTGACAGTTGCTGCTGGCTCTCTGCTGGGGGCCTCAGTTCCTCTCCCATGAGTCTCTTCGTGTGGTCTTTCCACAGGGGTTAGTTTGAGTTTCCTCACAGCATTGGTAGTGAGGACCCACTAGAAGCCAAATAATCTTGGAAGTCATGCTGTGATACTTGAAGTCATTCTGTTGATCAAGGAAATCACACAAACCCGCCCAACATCAAGGGAGAGGGACTATCAACCTCCACCTCTCCATGGAGGAATGTCAGCATCATACTAAAAGAAAAACATATGGGATGGGATGTACATTGCCACAGTCATTTTTGGAAAATATAATCTGTCATAATCTTCCACCAAATTATACATGCTTGACAAAATCCTATTAAAAAAAGCAAGGCCCAGTGAAAATGTCAGCACTGCTATAAAATTTTTTTATATACTATATCTCCTTTCAATATGTTCCCACAGGCCTTTTCACATATCTCTATTATAGAATTTATAAATTTGTATAATAGTTTTATAAATTGTATTCACTTTAAATTACATAAGTTAATAAGTGAATGTAACCTTACTTTTAAAAATTCAAACAATATAGATAAAGCTAATCCCCCACCCTGACTGTCCCTTATCCCACAATCCCCTCTAATGGGTTAACTGTTAGCAATTCGGTGGTTATTTTCTAAACCTTTCTCTGTGCATTTACATACATATATTAAGAAGCATTTAGAATTGACTTTGTTTATAATATTATTCCGTATTTCCCCAAAACTTTTATTAAACTTATGAATATCACTTGACTGTCTTCAATGTGTGTCAATATTTAGAGATTTACCCTGGTTTGTTTTTTAACTCCAGTAGGGCCAGGATATTATAGTTTCTGCTCCTACTGATAGAAATTTTGGTGTTTTATATTTTTTTCCATTATGTATATATAGCTTCAGTGAATGGCCTGTACACATTTGTGAATGTTTCTTTAGTGTGGGTCCTTAGAAATGGAATCTCTGGGCCATAAAGTATGCCAATTTCTATTTAATTAATGCTGTTAAATAGGCTCTCAAAATGTCAGTGCCAGTTTGTACTCTGGCTTGCAGCATATGAGAATAACTATTCAATTCACACCCTTGCTAGCACTTGATGTTTTCAAGCCTTACATTTTTATCACTTGGATAAAAGTTCCATTGCATAGGAGGGTATAATTTGCTTATTTCCACATATCAATTGGGTATTTATATTTCCTCCTCTATGGACTGCCTCTTTATATAATTAACCTATTTTTCTTTTGGATTGTTCGCTGTTCAAGTGAATGGATTTTTGTGTATGCTCATGCGCGCACACACACACACACATTCTCACACACACAAATCTTTTATCTGAAGTTATGTTGCAGATATCTTGCAGACTATGAATATCTTTTGGCTTTCTTAATGGTGTCTTCATAGAAGTTTTGTTTTATATCACCACTCTTTTCCTTAATACTGAGTGTGTGTGTGTATATGTGTGTGTTTGTATTCTTTTTAGTTATATATGACAGTAGAATGTATTCTGACATATTATACATACATGGAGAATAACTTCCCATTCTTCTGGTTGTATAAGATGTGGTGTTTGTGTGTGTTTAAGACAGTTTTCCCTATACCAAGTTTATAGGATATATTCCCTCATATTTTATTTTAATTGTTTGAATTATTTAGTTCATCTGGATTCAAAGTATTTGTGAATGGCTTTAGATAAGGATAGTGGGCAGCCAGTTGTCTCGTAACACTTATTCACTAATCCATTTTTCTATTGTTTTAAAATGACTCTATAATACATACTAAATAGTGTCTGTTTAACAACTCTATTCTGTTCCATTGATCCTTTTTTCTGTTTCTGATCTGTTTAACTTTTTGCAACTATTATACCACTGTTATATTAATATATTCTATTTTACTTAACTAATATTGTATTTGTTATGGTTTAGATCTAGAATGTACCCCAAAAGCTCATGCATGGACTTTGTTCCCAATGCAGCAATGTCCAGAGGTGGGGCTTTTAGGAAATAATTTGATCATGCAGATTCTAACTTCCATCAGTGGATTAATTCATTTGATGGATTTATAATTTGTACAGACAACTGGGAGATGGTAGAAACTATAGCGAAAGGGGGTATGGTTGGAGGAAGCAGGTCATGGGGGGTGGGGGGCATGCCCTCGGGGACTATTTCTTGTTCCTGGTCCCCCACACTTACTTCCGGATGCCATGAGCCGTCCAGATTTTGATACCCATGATGCCTCACTTCATGCCCAGAGCAATGGAGCTAGCTGACCGTGTACTGAAACCATGGGCCAAAATAAACATCTTTCTCCAAGTTGTGTCAGGTATTTTGGTCACAGCAATGAAAAGCTGACTAATAAATATTAGTGATCACTTAGGTCATTTCCATATTTTTACTATTATA